CATTAAAGTGGCTTGCAGCACCTTTTCTGTCCTGTGTGACCCCAGTTTCAGCTCGTTAGTATTCCACTCATTCGAGATGTAAACTTTTGCTTTAGAATGCAGAGCCAGATGTTGCAGGAATATGAAATGAGAACTTTAGGCATGTGCTTACAATTTGAGATAATTGGGACTAGAGCAGGCAAGGTCAATTGGACCAATTATATTTTATGTACAAACCTGCTGCTGCAGTCGTTCGTGTACTTTTACAAGGTCCATATTTTTTCACAGGAAACAGGACCTAATACTACTCTGTGTCAGTTTTGATTGTGGATTCCCTGTCCAAACAAACAGTGATTGCTGGCTCCTTTAGTGAGACAATTGGCACAAGTTGTAGTCATTCAAGCACCTCGTTCTGCTGGGCTTTTGAAAAAGTGCAGTATTATGCTAAGACTTATAAATACCATTCCCCACAGCACACAGGGTTTTAAAGCCATACAAGTGTTACTCTTAAAATATCTCTAATACTACACAAGCGTTTTTAACGAAGACTTTTAAATAACATGGTTTAGGAAAGAAGACTCAACATGCATATATATATGCACACAAAACCAAGGCCCAAACGCAAAGGACTTCAATGTATTCCAAAAAAATCCCACACTAAGAATGAGAAGACTTTAACCACACAGCCTGAAAAGCGATTAGGCTTCTGTACTCGGTGTGATTCAAGTTCACACAAATTCTGAGGCTCTAACGGCTCGAAATCAGGATTTATATTGTGCCTGCAGCCTGACAGCAGACAGCCACTTGATGGCTGGGAAAAATCTAACATCGAACTAAATGACAGCATCCATCATTCACTGGCACTTTTTGAAGTGGAAATGAAAGAAGCAGTCGGGGGAAAGCCCATCTTTTGTAAACCGATGAAACGGATGTTTATGGTTTCTTAAGCCGATGTTTTATCATACATCTGTTACTTCAGTATCTTGTCCTGCTGTGGCTCAGGTACAGTTTTTATTTCAAATAATGTGCTGGCCTGACATTATCGCAGCCTCTTTCATAAGAGAGCAAAGGGGAATAAAGTTTTTTTACACGCCACCTACAGATCTGCTATAACTCTGCTGCAATTGTTTTTGAAAAGCTTTCAATGACGTGCATGTGCACTGAAAAAGGCTTCTGTTAGCGCACGACTGGAAAAAAAAATGGAAGATTCCACAATTTCCAATTAGCAAACACTCATCTGCTAGAGCTTCAACATCACTCCTTGGCTCACTGTCCAGGAGAGATTGGAAGCAGGTTTCTCCCTGCAGGAGCGGCTGGAATGTAGCTCGTGGTAGTCACGTCATTCCTCAACAGCACCTGCGCGTCCGTCAGGGCACACTGAGCACACACCGAGATGGACAGGGTGTTGCCTTTCTCTGGAACGAATTCCCGTTTCTTTTCAGAGAATTCCAAAGCCAATCCCTCTTGGCTAACACTCCAGCTGAAAAGAAGGCAAAATTACAAATAAACTAGGAAAAGAAACGAAACAACTTGTAAAGGGCAAACTGTTCAAGAAAGAAACAAGAAACAAGTGCCTCAGGCACAAGTGTCACGTTTTTCAGAACAGGAAAGACACCATTAGACGCTGTTAACTGTGACACGCAGCACATGGACACTGGTAAGAGAGGATTCTTAACAGGGTTTACTAATACAATACAATTTTATTTCCCTTCCTTTAAAGAAATATGAAACTACGGGACTAAACGTAATAAACCCAGTCAGCTGAAATGTTCCCTGTTAGTCACGTGCAGTGACACTTCAAAAATCTCATTTAAAATTCCCTTTTTTATTTAATAGGACTCATCTATTCAGACATCTGTCTGACCACCATCAAGGATGAACACCGACAGGTGGTTTAAGGAGGTACGCATACAGTACGTCCATTTTGAGCTTGTTCCTAAAATCAGTGTGCAATGATGGTGCAGTCAGCTAGCAGCCAGAATAAAGAGACAAGGGTACTGAGATTCCTCCCCGCCCAGAGCTGACCTTGTGGGAACACTATCCTCTCCTCAGACTGTCTATTATTAGGCGTCTCCTTACCAAACAAAGGTCTAATACCCTGAACAAACAGGCAGCTCCCAGCCCAGCGCTGCCATCAATATGACCTGTCTTCACTGCCTCGCCCGCGCGCATCGCTTCCTGAAGCACATGATCACAAGACGTCTCGTGCTTTACCAGCTCCTAGATCTTCAGCCTCCACATTTTCGAACTCAAAAAAGACCACATCAACCCGAAGCTGTAGCAGGAGGCAAAGGAGATGAACATCGAAGTGCTCTCAGCAAATCACATAAGCAGGCCCTTTAAAATTCGCCTTTTAAATTTAAAGCTTTACCGCATTTCCGCTAAGCCTCTTTCACTGACGAACTATGGAAAAGAACCGGGATGGGAGACTTTCAAAGAAATCCAGGTAACTGCTCACAGTGGTGTTGGTGGCCCAGTAGGTGGCGATCTTTCCATTGGACAAAAACATTTCAAATGAACTTGCAGAGACATGAATCTGATTAATGCTTGTCCTGCTTACTCATAGATGCCCTTGCAATGTTTGTAAGAGTAGGGTTATTAACCTGGGTGTCCTGACTAATATCCATTCTGGGCTCGCACGATTTCTCACTTCTCCTCCTGATCTGTTCTGATCTGTGAGGATGCTGGCAGGTCAGACACTGTGAAGCCACTGCTGGACGAAGAGATTTCCATTCTATAATTCAGGTGATACGAGCTGCACCAATTGAAGGAATCGGTGCACCTTTGCGTAATGTTATTTAAAAGACTTAAAAAAAACAAAAATGCATTTTCCCCCCTGATTTGCATTTGGATTTTAGGGCTATGTTTATTTACCACAAACTATCTACTTATTTCCTCTCCTCTTAAGAACTACAAGACTAAAATCAAATAAATAAATTACTGTAAAATGCCATGCAGAATCACTATTGAGGGTAACATACTGGAAAGTGTCAGATACAAAAAAATACCTTGGCCACATTAACAGATGAGAACATAGACAAGAGTATATGTTTCAGCAATATTCCTACTGCTTAAGGTGTTAAAACCAGATAGTAGAAGTATCACAATCAACAACCAATATTCTGTTTTTTCCATTTTCCATCATTTTGTGAATGGCAAGAAGGGGGACCTAGCTCAGGACAAGAGAAGTACAGACTCAAAACAACAGTATGAAAATGTCACTCCATAGCAACAGTTGCCATTAAGAGACGTTTTCGTACATTTACATAGGAATGTGCTGTTAATTGCTGTTCCAAGCCAGATCAGTTATGTCCATAAATTATTCGGTCTATATTTCGCTTCCCGTTCTAGGTTATTAAAGGAAAAAAGACTGCACTTAACACGAGGGGCTATTATTACTGCTGCACCTCTAGTTGGCAAAGAGGACCTCTCCCTCTCTTCCCACGGTTGGAAATATCACCTTTGGAATAAATGGTCTATAATAAAGGAAATGGTTATTAGAGTGGAGAGGTATGGCTTACTGATGAATCGCCAATGAAAACACTAAAGGAAAAATATACCATCCTCCAGGATGACTAAGAGCCCTCCGTCCCTGATGCTCTGGTAACCACGATCATTAGGATAGCCTGGTAGAACCATGCTAGCATGAAACGGAAAGGAGAAACTCATTATAAATGAATTGTTATTTCACAAATCCAGGCTCGCAGAAGCTCCGGTAATTATTTGCACTGCAGACTCACAAATGCAGTTCTTGGTCACTGAAAGTGTGATGCATGAGTGGTTTGGAACTCCCATTTTCTTTTTTTTAAATGCTGTTTGGTGCATCATGGTTTTACAGCACATTGCACAGATTTCCTTTGCTATGCTCTCAGATGGTGTCTTCATTTACAGCTCAAGATAGTTACAAGACTAAGAAACTTCCATTCTCTAAAACAACAGCGCTGGGAGCTCTGCTACGCTCAAGAGGTCATTAAAAATATCCTAGGCAGACTTGAAGTTTTATCAAACTTAAAGTAGTAAAAGCTCTGCATAACATTGTTTCACCTCTAACAGATTCATCCTATGAATGTCTAATCTTAATAGTAGTCATACGTTGAGCAGAATACAATGTCCCATTTACGACTGTGTCTTCTGTAGCCTTAATCCTCAGCACTTTAAGATCTACTCAAAAGTGTTTTGGAGGACAGAAAGGTCTACAGTTCTCACCAGGATGGCAAAGGCGAATTTCAGGACACTTAGAAATTGTGGGCATCCGTACCTTCACCTAAATTAAAGAAATTAATTTTTGCAGTTCAGACTGCAAAAAAAGGTTGCTTTTCAGTCAGCCCCTGACTTTTGCAAGGGAATTTTGTAAAGATCTGTACGTCAAGCATAATAACGTTTAATCAGAACGTAAAACAGCAACGTGGGACATCTGGAAATTAACCGAATAATCAAGGGACATGAAATCAAACTATAGACCTTTATTCCCCCTCCTCTTCCCCCCTTTCGTTAGCTTACAACCTTAATGACAACACTGTCAGATTCAATCAATTCAGCTCAGGTCCAGAATCCATTTTTCAAACTTTATGACAGGTCTAATAGCTTCCACCTGTTTCTGGGATCCTGCCTGCTAACTGGCAAGTTCCCAGTACGATGCGGAGATGGAGACAAAGACCTCTATGAGGTGCAGCCCACTTCTACTGCTGTGAGGTCATTCAGGCATTAAATTAGTTCCAGCCCACTGGCCAGCCCCCCTGTAAACCCGAGCTCCCATACTCCTTTTTCACTGCTTCCAGACAGCTAGACACTGTCACTTGTGAGACGGCAAAAGAAATGTTTACACCCCACACATAATATATTTAGCAAACCCTCAATCCTATCAGCCTATTCTCTTATCAGAGGCAGACTGACTGAGCCAGAGCCTGAATATTTCTCTTCTTCCTGGGCAGCCTAAGCTGAGTCTCCCCCGGATGAGAGTAAGAACCCACAGACCCCCCCGGCCTCTGCCCACAGCACACCGGTAACGGCAGGCACATTACCCCTCGAGCAGGTCCATGGTGGTTGGCGTGACTTCGGCGTACAGCACGAGGTGACCCAGCATGCCAGTCTGCAGGTTGCGGGCGTAGGTGTGGAAGCAGAACTGCTCCGAAGGCTCCGGCTCGGAAGGTTCTGTCACCAAGGTGATGAGGCCTTCAGTTTGTTCTGTCTGGGGGGCTGCTGTAGAAGCCACCTTCAGGGACACTTTGGGAGACTTCAGCACACCCTCCCTGTCCACTTTGGTCCACAGCCACTTCAGGAATCTGTCTCTGGAGTCCTGTTTAATAGAAGCAACAATAAAAGCTGCATGTTACACAATCACTCCCTCCATCTCATTTTTCACTTACCGCAGTCTTCCTAAATCACTGATCATGAGCCTCTTCCTTGACTTACCCTTTAAGCAGAAGGATGAATAAACTGAATTTCTGTGAGCACAAAAAGGTTCAAGCCAAAACGTATTTCTTCAACTTGAATATTCAGCACCCAAAAATTACAGATTCACTGCACTTATTTTTAGCTTCCTCTGGAAAGGTTAAATAAGATGTTTAAACCTAAAATATTCATCAAATCAAATTCCCTATGATATTTAAAAGTCCGCAATCTGCATTTAGAGCAGCTTAAGAGAAATCACTTAATTTCAAGCAGACTCGGATATCACTAAAACTACCGCATTTATTTTCATAAAGATCTGATCATGGACAAGCAGAAAATGCTCGAATGATTGATTACAATGTCCTTGATTAAGGCTCCTGTCGACTGGTCTGTGTTTATGAATAATTAAAATCTTTTGCAAATCACAGTCACCTGCAAGTCAGGCTACCTCTTACAGTCTCTCAGAGGTTTCTTGCAATAGAAAAAACAGCATTTAATACACATCCAACTCAATTCTGTAGAGCAATGATTTTACACATTGTCTGGCCTTGTTGAAAACAAGCAAAAAAAAAACATTTACGGAAAAAAATGTTTTCCAGATGTGCAAGTGACTTTTAAATATTGTTGTATACATACAAGTTGCAAACCATGTAACAGGCAAAAAACCCCAAAACATTCTGACTTTTTGCTTTTTTTTGTCTTATTTCCCAACAAGTTAGACTTAATGGATAGGCCAGAGTAAATCTGCTTGTTCTCATGCATATCCAGTTGTTTAAATCTCCTGCACCAGCCTAGAAAGTTTGCACCTAGCAAACAATATTTTCAGTGGCTGAAATTTACACAGTACAGCACTGAGGATACCCAGGGTATATCGAACAGCAGTGGCCTTTTTTTGTGGAGTTTTCATAACATACAGCTAAAACTCTGTCAATACAAAGAAAATACACAGCACAACCGTCTGGGCAAAAAACCCACAAAACGTTGCATTGCGTTAACAGGACACAACACTCAAGCTGTTCCCTGAACATAAATATAACCATGACAGGCCTGATAGCTGTGATGACTCACAGGACAAACTGTTGTAATATGCAAATCCAATGATCAGTCTATAAAATCACCCTATGCAGTGGTCAAAGCAAAGAGTTTTCTGCATAGGCACACTTGTTTCTTACAAGGCTAATGTTGCAGTATGTTGCACTTTAGAGCTGGCAGAATTTGGAGTCTCTGAGATCAGCACACTTTTCCCTACTGCCATTCTATGACAGTATTTAGGTTGTTTCATCATAGATCATCTCATGCTGGCATTCTATGTTCTGTGGTAGAGCACCACTCCAATTTCCTCAGTTTGGATCTCAGCTTCTTCAAAAACAGGAATACACCTTATTTGAAAAAAACAAAGGTAGAAACAAAGGTTGTAATGTAAATGTTAGATTCCAGCCTGGGGCTTTTACTCGTGAACAGCACCATTATTATACATATAATTACATATAATATATAAGGACTTTGTCATCTCAGCTTGATTGATAGATGAAATGATAACTTGATCGGCCTGATAACGTTAAAATATGATCTGAAAAAATTCTGAGTTATGCATGTTTCTTCCGAGTATGGGATACAAGCGAATCCATCACTCGAAAGGGATGAGGCCTGTAGAAAAATGACTTTTTTGATGTTTGTTTTAGAGTGCTTGAGTGGATTTGTCGGCAGCCCCCACGCCTGTCTCCTGAAGGACTCCAGAGAAGTCTTACCATGGACCAAGACAATGAATCAAACAGACCTCACCCGCCTCGCTGCACTGGAGAAAACACAACCACAGTTCCACAGTGAATGCTGTGTTTAACCTTAGCAATTGAGAGAAGTCGCCTATAGGGATCCTTTTAAATTAAGAACATCATTAGACAAGAGCAAGTCCATCACAGCTTCTGACTTTGGCCGTGCTACACTCCACCTGGCAAATTTCCATCACTTGAAAAGAACAGCAAAGTGCGTTAGCAAATTAAATTGGCCACTGAATGAAAGCACTGAATTAAGGAGGACCAAACTGAACAACGGCAGTAAAATCCCCCTTTAAAGTTTGTGGAAATGTACTTTACCATTTTTATTGCTCCTGGAGAGAAAGCACAGCTGAGGAAAAAAACACCATAACGGCCTACATGCCTACCGTCTTGAGGTCAATGTGGAAACAAACCGTTCTAAAAATACCAACAGGAAATTGGGAAATGAATTCATGTTTCATCTAGGCGAAAAAAAACTGCTCCACTTGTAGCTGCAGCACAGGTTTGGCTTTTGCACCTGGGGATGAAATAGAATTCACACGGGTTTCACATGGCAGTAACGTGGAGAAGCAGTTAGGGCTCCTCTGGACTCAGGACTCAAGGTTCAATGATTCTTACTGTACCAGTGGGAAGATCTACAGAAATGAACTTCACTCAGATTGGCCAGGTAAAAATGTGCAAATGGGTTTACAGGCTATCACTGTAAAAGCAAAGTTCTTTTCAAGTGACTTTGTCAAATTGAGGAACAACACAAAAATATGCCCTGTGTAGCACTTTAATATCAGCAGTTGGGCTGTTTTTTGGGGGGGATTGTACAAAATAGGAGTTTCTTTAAAGCCCTGGCTGAAAGGCACCAGGCATTAGAAAAACGCTCCCTACGCTGAGACACTGCTCCACAGTCCTTTCTTCAAACAGATGAGGAAGGGAAGGGGGAAGAAAAACCTTTTCAGTCACCATCTGGTACCCAAATTGTGTGATTAGCACCCACGGGTTTGTGAAAGGACATAGACGATAGCTTAATTAGTGGAAATCCATATTAGGGGACGCAGTGATAGTTAATCAATTAGAATCGCTTATCAGCATGCCTCAATTATCTGCTTTGTGCCCATTACAACGCAGTAATTAGGGTGGGAGGTGAGAGGGGAATCAGCCTCCTGAGACCAATTCAGATTCTGTTTACAAGCCTGTCTCTCTGCTTTCTCCTATATCCCAGGGAAGACAGCACTGAACCAGGAACGTCCAATCAAACCACAAGCTGGAGACAAAAGATCAGGGTTTAAAGCCCTGTCATTTTTCTAAGCTTCACTTTAGCATTCTTTTACCATCTCAACACAGCCGCACAGAGCTGAAGGATTCGACGCAGGGCAATACACAAAATAGCCTAAATCCTTAAATACACTGGTGAAAAAAAAAGAACAGAAGAGAGGCTGACTCACAGATATTTTCATTTAAACGTGAAAGATTCAGGATGCAAAATCACTCATCGTACTTATATCATCCATTCTATTTTTTTGGGGGGCCCTGAATTTGTACAAAAGCCTTTTCTCCTCAGAGATTCTGCACTAAAGTAATGCTATTCCCTTTCTGATTAGGCCTTTCTTCAAAACATCAACCAAAAAAAGACTAAAAAAAAAAAGGATGGTGCTCTTTTGGGTGGATACATTTGTGATTTTTCTTTTTATTCTCCGAAAACGTTGCGATCCGAAATGAGGCCACGGTGAGGCGGATGGGTCAGTAGCTTCCAGGTTTCGGGACACAAAGCTGAGGGACGATACCCAAAGCGGCCGACAAACGTCTCTGGAAAGGCCAGCAGGCCCAGGATGAAAAAAGAAAGTTGCGTCTTGATGAATTAGGAGCTTTGTGAGCGTTCCCTCTCTCTCTCTCCCTCCCGTGCGCTCTCTGAACCAACGGAAAATCTGCCCCTCGGCAGACAAACTTTCTACTCTTCAGCTCCAGCAAGGTGCACAGAGCTTCTACTATTTGCTTTTCCCTGCAATTTGAACAAAAAAACAATCTGGAAGCAATCAGGCAGCTGCCCTCATCATCCACATGTTTGTTGTAACAGAGTGGCTGGGGCAGGGGTCAGATGTCAGCCCGAACTCAAAACAAACCTCATCATAATAATAATACAGTTTGGCTTTTGTGTCCGAGTGAAAGGCTAAGTGGATATATAAATGAGTAACTTAACTTGTCAAAATCACTCATGTGCCGTATCAGAAATTATCTCATAACAGCGCATGTGTGCTCAGCTTGTATTGGAAACTGCACGTTAGACATGTAGGACTTGAAACACAGTGCTTCTCTCTGCCCTGCATGCGTTATCTTAACCAAAATTAACTGCTTTTTTAACCTTTTTTCCCCCATTCATATTATATTCAGATCACTAACAATATACTTGCAAAATTTTCAGGGACCTCTGATGAAATTTCCAAATAGCTTTTTTAGCTCCCAGAGAGACCTACACAAAAAACTTTCAGCAGCCTTTACAAATTAATCAATGCAGAATATCAGTTGCTTGCCATTACCTGTACATAATTAATGCGGATATCAATAGTTGTTTTCATTTGGGAGACACGACAGGAGCCTGTGATCCACACTGTATACGCACATCAGTTGAAGAAGGCTGCCACCTAGCGGGGATATACATACTGCAGCTGAACCCTGCTCATTTTTGTGCACCGTTTGTAGGAATATCTCATCGCTCTTCTTTCCTAACGATGTGACAGCTTGCCACTTTTTCCCCAAAATAATAAATGTCAGCCAAAACGTGTCTTAGAGGGTTATGCTTTTCTTCAGATAACTAAAACCAATAAATGTATAAATGTTGACCTCCTTAATCCAGCTAGTGCCTTGAGCTTTGTAACTACATGCAAAACATCTGAGAACACATAGCTAGCATGCCATGCAGAAAATCAATCATTTTATTTGCTACACTGCCCTTTGCAACACTTCACAGATTTCTGTAACTGTTAAGAATACAGTAACACTAGAACATGGTGCAACAGGAGGTTGAGACACTGATTGATGTAGTCCAGTTAATTCTCTATATATATTTGCCCACAAAGCTAAACTGTACACCACATGCAACAAGAAAAACAAAACAGCAGCTCGAGACTAGGAAACAACAGTCTAACTGCAATGCAGAGACCTAACTGTAATGGCCCAACTTCATTGAGATCCCACTAAAAAACTGATTAACACAGCATGCAAATTCCCCACATAGCTTTGGACACCACATCACCGGCAGGGGGGTTATCTGAATATCAATAAGTTGGGCCTCACAGACACACAATAGAGGAATTAACAACTGCCTGCAAAGCGCTGACTGACATCCACACTGGGTGATAATTCCAGGCTCCAGCAAACGTCTCCAGTCAAACCAGCTTTTACAAAACACATCATAATTATCCCTGCAAATATTTATCATGGAAGCCAATCAAGGAATCCATTCAGGCAAGTTACACATATGGAAACCATTTGTTTTCCTAATATATGCAAATGTGTGTCAAAGTACTCAACCGACAGAAAATGTTGGATGTCCAGAAGGCATGGCAGTAAAAATGTTTGACCACGTTCGAATAAAAAGACCAGGGAGAAGTGTCCGTCTGTCAAGTGGGAAAAAATAAACTAGAGATATCAGTTTCTTAAATCGTAGGAATGCACTAAAAAAGCAAAGCATTTCAGTACAAAGATAAATGCACCAAAAAAGATCTTTTTACAGAGACTGTTTACAAATCAAAGTCTATGCAGAAAGGTGGGGACCTCCTGAGAGACCCCAGATCCAGCCTCTTCTGGCTTCACAGCTTTTTTGAAGAAAACATTCCTCCTAACATCGCTATGTGTCGCTAATAAAGGTCGCTGAACTAGATGAGCAGACACATGAGGAGGCTGGCAGCCTGGATAAAGAGTTATTACACCAATATGCATCATCAAGGAATGACAAGCGATATCACTAGGCTGGTGCAACTTCTGCGCTTCGTTCAGGAATGACTTAAGTTAGATATGTGTGCGTTTTTTATCTTAGCCCGAGAGTAATGCTAAAAAAAAACTTCTGATTCTTTTCCCAATCAAAACCTCTGATAAACTGAATTCGAGCACAACCTTGAACACAATTTAACCTAACAGTAGCTGGCCTTACTATAACATGAAACCTAACCTCAGGTCTAACACAACCCTAAATCCCAGCCCTAAACCTAGCTCAATGCACGTTTTTTTCTTTGATGACCACAAGGGGGTGCCAGCTGCTTAGTCACAACCAAGGCTCCATTTCACACCTTTGCTAGGACCCATCAGCTTTGTGAGTCTATGTTCTCAAGACAAGAGCAGATCAAGCAGGGTGAGAGTTTAGAGAGGGCCAGGAAATGATAAAGCCCATGCAAACAGATCGCCAGTTGTGCTCTGTCCTGACTGGGATAAACAACAACAACCTGGAATAAAAAAAAACATCTGCTTCAGCCAAGACCAGAAGATCCCCTGCCCAGGGAGAAGCTTTACTGCTCGAGACGATACAGTTCAAGAGAGAGAGCTGCCCACCTGAGACGAGGAGAGGAGGTGGATGGGGCTGGGAGGGGGCACTTGGCTCGGTTCACAGCTCAGTCCAAGAGAGCTCAAGATTTTGGACATCGCCTCGTAGCGTCGGGCGTTGCTAACCTTCAGCTCATCGAAGTCCTCGGGGTTCTGCACGTCCCCCGAGTCAGGCGAGGTCTCCAGACGAACCTGCGCCGCAGAGGGGGAAAGAGAGGGGGAGGGAGGCCGGGCTGTGTTTCCTAACCTGACCATCGGTCTTTGTGTGGTCAGAAACCCACCGCCAGTCACCTCATACAGCTAACATACACTCGTATATTCACATACAGACGCTGCACTGCTTCACTAATACATTTGTTGAGCTAACGAAGAAGCGTTTCTCATATTATAGGTGTGCACATATAGAACAGATTACTGCTTTATTGTTACGACAGATCATCGCGTATAAGAGACTGGAAAAAACAAATAGTAATGTGTGGTGCTCTGTGAAACATTAGGAATTCACAAAGGGGTCTGAATACTCAAAAAGGTTGTGAATTGCTGAATTAGAGGCTCATTCTTAACCCCCCTCATTATTGATCTCTCTCAGTATCCTATAGTTCACATAACGCAATGGAACCCAAGAGAGAGATTGTTACCACATCATTAGTTCAGAGTATTGTGAGCAACATGCTGGTTGAAAACTGCTGAAAAAGAAATAGGATAGTTCAGATGACAGAATGTGCAATTTAATTTAGGAAAGTCCTGAAAAAGAATAACCTTTGACTGCAGAGATTTCCAGAAATCCTTACAAATCAAATATTTCTGGCTTGCCTGTAACCATTTTGCTCCTGTGTGTCCTCAAAGGCAGGAGTGCCGTGTGCTGTAGGAGTGTGTGTGTCCTGCCCGACGCAGCTCCTACCTGGCACAGAACAGCTCGGCCTCCCCGGTCTCCACGGGCGAGCCTCACCACCACCACGTCCTTGTCCTGACCGCTCAGCTGCCCCCACAGCTCCACCTGGCCGTCCATCTCGGCGTCGCCCTCCCTCACGAACATGCCCCCGCTGGCCATCACGCTCAGCTCCAGCTCCGGCTCGGGCCCGGGCTCGCCGGCCCGGCCGAACCTGAGCCTGTGGACCCGGTTCCTCAAGGCAGCCTTGGGGACGACGGCCAGGCCTCCGAAGCAGAAGGGGGAGGACAGGCCGAGGAGCCTGCCGCCCAGCGAGACATAGGAGAGGAAGCGCTGGCGGAGCGCGGGGGCCAGCGGCTCGTCCGAAGCCAGCACCACCAGCCGGGCGCTCTCCAGCCAGGGCTGGCGCAGCACCTGCTCGTGCCTCAGCTGGTACACCACGTAGCTGTCCGCGTCCAGGCACTCCGCCAGCAGGCCCCTCACACGCCGGTACCGGGCCTCGGACTCTGCCGGCTCCTGGCCGGCGTACACCAGCACGTTGGGGGGCTTGCCTGTGACGCTGGCTCTCCTGGACTGGCCGCAGGAACGCTCGTCCTCCTCCTCCTCCTCCCTGCTGGCTGAGCCCATGTAGTCGTCAGGCAGGTCAGGGATGTTCTCCGCAGAGGCAAACTTCACCGACTCGATGGTGCAGTTCTCCAGCTCCAGGCACTCATGGCAGCTGGAGAGATGCAGGTGATGGCCCTCTTTGTGATGGTCCTTCACACCGTTTGCCTCCTCTTTATCCATCTCTGCCTCCTCCTCCTCCTGTTCTCTGCCTCCCGTTTCCCCCTTCTCCCCCTGAACGGTCTCAGAGCTTTGCTGCCCGTCTCCGTCGGGCTGAGATCGTTGCTGGACCGCACCTCCACGATCGCCCCCGTGCCCGCTTGCTGCCTCAGCCACAGGCCCCATGCCAGGAGACTCCTGGGGTCTTGATGGCTGCGATTGCTTGTCAGTAGCCATTTGCCTCTTTTCAACGAGCTCCCTGAGGGCAGATTCCTGGAGTAGCACAGCTAGGGGAACAGAGGGAGCAGAGAGGGGACGTGAAACAGTCATATAGCCAGCAGTGTGGAGCAGCAGGCAGGGATCTGGGCTCACAGCTGTAAGGAGGAAGGTTCAACTCCCCAGGCAGAGCATTAGTAAGATGCAATGAATGGGTACAAATTCTAATTTGCCCTGGATTAAAAGCATCAACCATATAATTTAATACATACACAGATATGCCATGATTAATTAGACATACAAGAAATATGCAGGCTGTTAAGACCTGTAAAGATTATCTTAACAACACAGGGAAAAAAAGCACTTACGTTCTTATCTGTACAAACACTACAAGGTAGGACAAAAGTCTACTGCACTGCAGACTTGAAAAGCTCCTTTCCCCCACGTAATCACGTCTAACACCGAGATCTCCATTTGTACAATCCAAAGCAATCAGGTCAAACAATCTTTGCTCCCCGCCCCCCCGAACTCACAGACTATATTGTCCGGCACCAGCCCGTTGTCCATCTGAAGCCTGTCCTCCATGAAAGCCACTCCGATCTGGCTGAAGTCCTCCACGCTGGCCTCTGCAATGGCCTTGAAAGGCTGGCCAGGGCTGCGGGCCAGAGGCAAGCAGTGATCTGACCACTTCAGTATCTGGAAATCAAAGACAAAACCTCCCAATTCGTATTTGTGTCCAAGAACGAGAACGCTTCAGGGTTGGAGGAGCCTGGTTGGCCATCCTGATACTCAGAAAAACAGAAGGCAGTGGCAAAATAAGATATTCAGCAAAAAAAAAAAGGCAAACGCAGTCCAATTCTGGACTAAACTGTCAGTTTTCTCTCCTCATGTTTGGTGCGTTTTTATTATATATTATTTTACAACTTTAATAAAATAAAACTTGTTAATATTAATTGACCATTATCGGCACACTTCAGTCCTTGTGTCCTAAGAGTCTAATGACATATTCCACTACCGATAAAGACGGAAACATTCTGAAGCCTTCTTGAGTGCTTCTGTCAGTGAGGCAACAAGCGGGGTGCCCTTCGTTTTGACTCGGGCCTCCTGGGGCAAGAGAGAAACAATGTGGATCCCAAATAGACAGGTAAGCCCCCTCTCCATTTCCTCTCCTGCTGTAACCACAGGACTCTTGCTCATTACACTCGGTTCACCAAAGATCGGCTAATGCCTTTCAAAAAGCTTCCTGAGTGACAGGAACTGAGCTCTCGCCTCTCGGATATGATATGCTGCTCCTTTAAGCATGACTTCCCAAAAATATGCCGAAAGCTTTCTCTTTTCAAAGAGCTTTCAATGGTCGGAGGCACCCTTCGACATTGACCAGGTTTCCCCGACTTGAGACGGCCACACCCAGCCTTCCAGGAGACAAAAGGAAAAACAAAACTCGGGCCACGGGCCGACTAGCCGTCCCAGGGGCTCCGAGAATCAGACAAAGAGCGGCGGCTCAGGTTTCTGAGTGCAGGAGACAGCTCCGCAAATAAGTGCATCCTCCGTGGCTGAGCATGTCAAAACCTCACACTGTCTCCGGGGGCGGGGAGAGGCGAGCTTATCAAAGCTGGAGTCCAGGGAGATTGAGACAAGTGAGAAGCAGGACACCACCGTGGATAAAGATAACCCAGAGGGCCGCTGCCATTTCCCCCCCAAGAGCTCCTACAGCGGAATGGGTGCAAAAGGAGCAGATTTCTCCATCAGTGCAGAAAGATCAAAGGGTAAAGACACCAACCGCTTCCTGATTGATCAGCAGAAGCCTGACATTTCAATCTTAACCACCAGCGACCCGTTTATCTGGGCCCTCTGAAACACTGGCCTACAGGGCTGTCCATCCTGCTGTGCTATCAGGAACCAGTGAGTGGAGTCACAATAGACTGTCCAGATCTTCACCCAAGTCCCTCAGAAGGCTAATTCACAGACAGATCGATCTTCAAGTGACTAGAAATGCACAATCAGCTGAGCAAGGGAGTGAAAGTCTACTACAACCTTTTGGGGTTTTTTGGGAGGCAAATGAGCACAACCTACTGTAATTACAGACTCCAACAAAAAGCATAGGCCTGCACGCTTTTTAAGCATTTAATAAACACCCCCATGTGAACAGAAAAAGAGGACAGTGCTGCAAAGGCAGAGGGTGGAAGGGTGGAGTGGGAAACAGTGTTTCAAGACTAAAAAAAAGAACAGAACACCTTCTGAAAAAAACTAGATGTATTCAGAATGAATCCACAGCTTGATTTCTCAGGTTGAGAGCTGATAACTCTATGTGCAATCTTTGTCAATACTTATTGTTTCTTTCATAAATAAACCTGAGGAACTTTGCAGTTCATTAACTGCAAAGGAACGGCATCACTATCGAACAGTAATGCTTAGGTCACTATCTGGAGAAAAAGTGCGTTCAGGCGGCCTTTTTATCATTGGAAGTTTATTGCATTACTGGGCAGACTGACCTTTCTCCGGGATGTGGGCAGTGACTTTAAGGCCAGCTCTTGATCAGACGAAGCCTCTATCACAAAGGCAATGTTCTTGGCTCTTGAAACAGAATCCAGATAAACTAGAGGAGATCCTAGCAACACAGTCCACTTGCTGAGGTCATCACAGGGCTGTAAATGCAAACCAAGCGTTCAGGATAACAGAGCTATTCCACATACAAATAGTGCTGTATTGTCAGCATTGGTTTCATGAGAAAATAGCACACTATTTTATTAACTGCAAATGCCGGGAATGTAGTAGGAAACCTGACATTTTTTTATTAATGTTACATTCCATTTAATCAAAACAGTTCTTCTTACTTTAAGAATTCCTGATGAATACACTATTAAGCTATTTTAATCCCTAATGGACTTCAAACCTCTCCACCTATAGCAGACCCTCTTCATCCAACACTGAAGTGTAGCACCAGCCTGGCTGACTCGTTGCCCACTATGCAGCAGGTAAGGAGAAGGGTTAAAATGCTTCACCAGGCAAATTCAGGGGAGTAATTTAACTCTGCCAGACTGTACAAGCCCACAGAGTAATTTAGCCGAAACAATGCAGACAGCACCCCTACTCTTGAGCAAGTGCTCCAGACCTAGTTCAAAATCTTACTGAGAGCACACATACTCCTTGTCTGACTCCCAGAGACACCAACATCCTTCATATACTGTTTCACCTGCAATAAGATGCATCTGAAACTCTGTACAGAGAATTACCTTCCATGTGTTTTTGATACAACTTTTTTGTGCGACTAGCATCAATTAAGCAGCAATAGTCATAATAATCTACTTTGTTCATCTTAAAGGAAAGTTTTTCAAATTCCCTGTGGCACCCGCGGTGGCCGTGTTACTCTGCTAGCAAACCTTGTTTTGCTCATTTATAACAGATACAACTTTATTATTTTAGACGGACGAATGGATGTGGGATGATTTAATATCACTGCTATTCAGAGGTTTATGTTACCGCCTAAACGAAACTGGGAGGTCTCCATTTGAAGCCATTAAACGTGTTTTCCAATAGCTTTTGTAAAGATGCTGCAATTCTGTACTCTCTTTCACGTAAGATACATTTATGATTTGTTCGACAATTAAGCGAATGCCGTTATAACCCACTGGAACTGTTCATTCTCAAGATCTCTTGCTGCGGTATCCATGATCTGCAAACTTGCTGCCGCTCGGCATGCGTCAGGTGGAGCGCACGGCGAGGCCTGGAAAAGGAGCTTAGCATGGACGCTCGGAGCACGCTAGAGAGCTACGGCGGAACGATAATGCGATCACCTGAGGCTCGGTAATGCAAAAGACCTTGTCGCCCAACCTGAGGAACACTTTATCTTCTCGCAAAGAGGGGCTGTGCGCTTGGAAACTTTTCTCGGCGGCAGGCTGGCTTTTCTGCCACTGTCCCGGTTCCAGAGTACGGAACGCGAAGCCGCGACTGCCCCCGCACAGCCTGCGCACGGTGCTCCGGATCACCACCGTGTAGCACCTCTGGAAGCGGACCCACAGGTAGACGTAGCACAGGGTGATCAGCATCTTTCACCGCATCAGAAAAGGGGCGAACGGGCAGCCTCGCCGGCTCCTTTCTCCTCTGCACTTCCCTGTTGCTGCCGGCGGCGCTCCGCCCCTCCTCCGGCCGCGTCAACGCGTCAGGCGTGCCGTGCGCTCCCGGGGCACCAGAGGGGAGTCGGACCCGGAGCCTGACCTGGGCGCCGCTGCAAACTGTAGGCCTTCTAGTACCGAAAGCTGCTGCTGGGTACTGGCAGTATTCATAACTAGAATATTCATATTCCTAAGAATCATATTCAATATTCATAACGTGTGGTGTGCAAGACAAGACGTGCCAGACATTTCATTCACAACGTGTGAGAGGTGGTTGCATTTCACAGACGGTGCGTGTGATAAACATTTGAAAAGGAGCTTACTGTAAATTGAATCTGTTCCCGAAAATGCATTTCCGGTTAGAAACAGTTTTCCCGCAGGTAAATTATTTCCATTCACAAGCTGGGGGTGGGAGGCGCTGATCGATGGTCCGTGGGAGACGGTCGTAAACACTTCTGGGTGAATCACACCCACTTCAATTTGTCTGAGCAAGCCCCTCTGTTTACCCACGTCAGCGGGCCTGACGGGGACAGCCTTAAGAAGCCACACACTCTCTCCAGCGCCGCTCAGTCCGGGTGTTTGCTCGAAGGAGGACCGGTGGCAGACGCATGATGCTCCCGCACAGCTTGGAGATGGAGCCCCCGGCCCGTACGCTGAACGTCCACGTCACGCGTGTCTGTCCGTGCTGTCGGGTGTCTCCTGTGGGACAGCCGGGTCATCCGGCACAACAGAAATGGTATACGATCGAGCAAAGAGAAATTTGTGATAATGATAGGTAATAGTAATAGACTAGTGGTTAAACAAATAAGCACAAGCTATTCTGACAGTGATGAAGGACATGCTGGGGAAAGGGTGATTCCTTTAACATTTTTGTAAAAAAATGTTTTGCAGCGATTCGGCGATATGGAGACCCTGGGTTCTGACCAGCCGAGATGTTCAACTGCGTCACGGAAAGGTAACAGCAAACCTGCGTTTCGTCAAGAGAGGCTGGTTTTAAAATAAATAAATCGATGAATCACTTTGAAGTCACGATCGTGCTAAAGGAAACATGGAACCCATTGCGCTTAATTCTGGTGATTTATTCTGTTTATAGTTCGTTTCTTTTTCAAGAACTTTTAAACGACAAGAACATCTTGCTATTAAAATATTGGCCGATGCATCTGATCAAATCCATCTTTAGTTTATTGCTTCGTCGGATTCGTGCCCAGGTTATGTTGATTGTCTCTGCTTTTTCCAATATACACCATTTAATTTGAATAATTACAATTTTCAACAATCGGTTTTCCTGGGGATCAAGACTTTCTATGGGTAAAAACAGGACGTACTGTACATCTGCGTGCTCTGCGGTTTCACCTGATTATACTGTTTTTAGTCTTCGCATTATCTTTACCGAATAAGCACGTAGGCAAACATGCGGTAGTTCTTGTTTCTAAATCTTCTTTGAAATGTTTCATTTCACTTGTCTGTGTGGCGGTTATTTCTGTGAGTTGAGAGCCAAAGCGAGAAACGTCGAAGCGTCTATATTTAAAAAAAAAAACATTTCTGTTTTCAGTCTGATTCTGGAAGTCTGAACTCTCTCAAGAAACCGACCTCAAAAGGCGCGTTCGGATTTCAACACCCGGTCAGGTAAGTGTGAGTGTGGAACATAAGTTGGAATTCAGTGAAAACCAGCCGCACAAGTTTCTAAGAATCAAATATCAGACTAAACTATCAAAAACTTGACTCAAAACCTGTTGTATATATTGCTTAAATTTCTGTAGGCAGGCTTTGAAAAATGGTGATGGGCAGATGTTAATTACATTACTATTGGAATGAATTGATGAATTACTGGTGAAACGAACTTGATCTAAAACACTGCAAGACCTACATTTATCTTCCTTCCAGGAATACGTACTGCTTTATTTATTTTTTAGTCCTATGACTTTCTGCTACTGAAGGGCTTATTATTTTCAACATTACTAGATGTCATTCTTGTATTGCAAGTACAGTGGGCGAGTGAGGAAGGGGGGGGGAGATTCCCTTTCTGTCTGTGGTACTGTAGCAAAAATAAAACGTGTATTTCTTTCTTCTGTCGGTAGACTCTACATGCCCAGGTCAAAGACCCAGGAGTACCTGCGCCACATGGGAGAAAAAGTACTGTCCAGCTTTCCTGTCCAGGCCACCATCCACTTCTACAATGACGACACGGAGTCCGAGGAGGAGGAGGAGGAGGAAGAGGAGTACGAGGCCGGAGCGACTGAGCTGACGGGGCTCGGCCCAGGCGATGGTGGCACCATGCTCTGATGACTGCCACGCCTGGCGAGGACAGGATGTCAGGACGGGAAGACACCCGCTGTTTTGGAAACAGAACTTAATGAACAGAGGAGAAGGGGGGCACGGGGTCACAGGCTGTGCCGCAGGAAGGGTCACCTCAGACAGCAACAGGAAACCAAAATGGGGAAGGTCGCTCCGAGCTGCTGACTACGCAGAATCGATACCCTTTATATGGAGGGCTTGTAAACTGACCTTTAAACTCAATAAAACGAAAACCCAACTTAAGAATAATTGCATTTCAGAGCAGCACTATATCAGCAATTATTTGATCGTTTCCTATGGTTTTGAGGTGTTGATATACACAATAGTGAACACATTCTTTCTCATGTGCTGATACATCACCCTGGACTTTCCAGGTTTTTTTCCGGGTGTATTTTTTGCTGTGGTCTTGGATGCTGTAGAGGAAATTTCACTGAGAATTTCATTCACAGTTTGATACTTGCAAGATGAGAACTATTTCAAGAAACTTTACAATACCCAGTACTACTAGATGTGCTATAACTGGTCTATTTCAATCTTAATATTATTCACAGGCAAACTTCAACATTGTTTACATATACAGTGTAAATATATAAAGTTTTGATGAAAATGTATTATGCCCTGTTTTTATTTTTAAATAAACTGTACAGTTTTGTATCTTATTCAAGTGTTTCATTTCTTCACCGAGTTAAATGTTCCATTAGGCCAAATTCTTTTCTTGCATTCATTGAAGTTGTCCCTTCGTACCTTCTGTAGAATTTGTATTCCTTCCAAAATGTAAACATACTCTTTGTACTGTTTATTGTTTTATTATTCTAAAAGTAATGAACAGAAGACAGGGCACTTCACACAAGGTTTGCACAGACAAAGCCACTCCTGCATGTCTTTTTAAATGCACAAGAATGATGGTAGTTCGCTCAGTCACGGTTTCCAAAAGCCACTCCCACAGAGACCCTGAGGTCTGGCCATGCATGCTACCTGAGTGAGGCTTGAACCCGTGAACTTCAGGCTGCAGGTCACAGCCCCCCTCACCTGCTGAGCCAGCAGTGTGCCAGCAGACAAAGCAAGTAGCAGCTACAAGCTTCAGTGCCCTGGAAGACGAAGATACATAGAAATACAAGCATACATAGAAGAACATAGAAAATAATGAAGAAAAATGGGATTGTAGGGATCTTCCCAGGTTTCTAATTTATTTTCTTTAATAAATGCTCTTGGTGCAGAATCACTGGTTTTCCCAGACACTTAAGATATACCCTTTGAACTACTGAGTTTTAACTGATGGACGAGGCACACATAAATCACGCCAGTCACAAATGTGTACCACAGCAATGTATCCACTTGAGTGGTGGCTACAGTGACCCATATCTAGTGACACAATTCCTCTGGAAGATTTGACTAAATTGGATTTCCAATGTAGTACCTATTCTTCAAGGGTGCATTGTGATAAGATTTCACCTCAAACGCAAAAGTGCAATTTGCCAGCATGGGGAATTATTATTTTTAATTCTAAAAGGGGTGAAAGAACAATCTGAACTTTGCTTTGCCAACCGTAAGCAGACCAAGTGTACACTTTTTCATCAGCTATCTTTTTAATCAGAGGGAATTTGTTTTTTATTTTTAATGAAAGGTAATGAATACCACTCAGTGTCTCTCTCAGAGAACACATTTGCATTTTCCCTCTAATAATGTCTTCTTGTAAAGATATTGATTGCTGGAGAACATTTTTCAAGGTATTTCAGGAATCTGAATTGTGGCATTTCGGAAAATTGAATATCAGTAGCCATGATGTACAATGGCCCCTACTTTATCATATAAACTGTCAAGATTAATTTATAATTTGGTGAATGTCTTCTGTTTTAGAATCGAAGAGTATTGGTAGCTCAATGGTAGATGTTTTCTCTTGGCGAGATAAAGTCAGCAGATCAAAACGATATGCACATATCTGTTCTAAAAGATGTTTTCATTTATTTTCAGCTGCACTACATTGACTGTTTTTAGTTAGTATATTCTGTAAATTTATAGCAACACTAAAGAAATTACAATGTGCACGTGTAAGAGCTGATAGGAAAACAGACAAAGTGACAGTAGTATATCCTTAATTGCAAATCAGCATTGGCTTCAATAATGCTTTATGGCTCCTTTTTGTATGTATTCTGGCCCTAAAATACTTTTCATGCTGCAGAACTCTGGAGTCCAAGACAGCATTTTGTTTTCTGATAAACATATCTCTTTGCTGTGGTGTTAACTGAATATAAGCAAAATGTAAAAGATGGATTGGACATCCAACTGGCCACTAATCTCTCTGCTGACAAGAAAGGCAGTGATCAAAGCTGGGGCTGGAGGTGAGACGGGGGGCAAGTTTAGCTCTCAGCTGACAGTGCAGTCAGTCTCTCTCCGCACAGTAGTGGATTCCTGACATGTGATCTGGGTAGGCTTACATGAAGGGCCAGGGACACTCCAGTACACATGGGGTTAAACACTGCCAGGCCATTTGATCTGAGCACTGTTTGCTTTTGATGCCTTATCTCACATACTGACGACAGTGCGATGGTCTCCTGCCCTGCCTGCGAGAGTGGCTCGAGTCCAGACAGCGATTTGGGAGTTGAGCGGCTTCTCCACCACCGACTGATTGAAAAGCCCTGGTGAAAACCCAGCAGATAAAGAGATGGGCGATGGCCATTTCACTAGCAGACTGGACAGTTCAAGGGGTCGTGAACTGCCATGACCTTTACCGCACAGACATAATCACACAGTCCAGCTCGCCAGTGCTTGCCAGTGCACCCACAGCATGTACAAAATTGGATAATTCCTTCATTCCCACTTCACAGAAAATGATTTGATTTTTTTCAATTATATTTAATGAATATAATTGATATAAATCTAAAAATATAAATCTACTCTGAAAATAAAGGGACTATTTTGTTTATTTTCAATTTGCCCCCCAGTCTAAAGATTGTAGAACATAGTGGATGCAAGCGTATGCTTAAGCGACCATGTTGCTTATGCTTAAGTTACAAAGGAAAGAGAATATAAATCAAAGCAGATATTAGTCATTTGGGACTCTACCTGAAAACTGCACTAAATACAAAAACCCTGTAAAATGATCTAGATTTGAACGGTCCATTGCCAATTGTTTTTTAAGTGACAAAAAAAAAGATTAATTCTGTTTATCACTGGATGCTCTGAGGTTATGATGACTTACAAATGGTTCATCTAACAGTCAAACCTTAGTTCTGTCACTGTGATGGAAAAGCTGTGATGGAAAAGCTGCATCTAAAACCTCTCTAATTTGCTCTAGTGAAGAAAGATCCAAGCTACATCCCCGAGTTTGCCTGTAATTATGTGCCTTAAGCAATCACATCAGGTGACAGGCTCTTCCCTAAGGTCATGGGATAGTATCTGATGACGGTTCACAAAACTCACCCCAACTGCCCTGTGCAAAATCTCCACCCACACAGCTTTGCTACTTTCACAAACTTTTACCATTAATAAGAAAGCAACATCCAAATCTCTACACTTTTAAACATAAAACAACTGAAATTTAGACCCACATAACCCTAATGTTGACATTTTGCACAAATCAATCTTTAAAAGCTTAAATGTCATTGTATTTTTTAATTGACAGTCCATCATTGACACAGGTGAAAAACAAAGGAAGTCATTTTTAAAGTTCACTATGTTGAGACAAACGCAAAAATGTTTTAAAAGCACTGAAAAATGCAGTATTATCTACGAAAGCAGGCTTGATAACTTTATTGAAATTATTTTGGAAATTGTCTGTAAGAATCAGCATTATCTCACTATAAGATGTAACAGGCCATCCCTAAGCGAGGAAAGTACTACTTCTGGATAAGATTAATCTCGAAACTGGGAGAAACAGAGAAAAAGAGAGGGGGAGATAAGATTGTCTTTACTCTGTCTTATCTCTCAGAGTAAACATTTTTCCTGTTTAACCACAGCCCACCTCATACCCATCAACCTGATCTAGAAATCATCCATTTCCTCTGAATCTCAGGTGATTATAAGATAAAAAAGTAACGATATAGATTCTATGTTCTAACAAAAATGGTTGCAAATGTGAGGTAACTATTAAAGTTTTATTCTTAAATATCTTATTTAACAGTGTGTCCTTTCCAAGATGAGTCTGATCTCTTTAGAAGAAGCCATGCTCCAACAGGGCAATTTAAACAACGTTTCACATCATCTACAAAGTTAATTACTGTGTTAATAACTGTACCAGAAATCAGTCACATTTCAACAGCAAGAGCTTTGACACGCATAGTGTGTCACACCATTGGATGTGTCCTGACTGAAATAAATAAAGCACTGCACTCCTGAGCCGTACAAGTTAATGTGACAGGCAAGACACAAGAAGTCTGTTTCTTTATAGAAGTCTTCCATAATTGTCCCAGCAAATACTTGGTTCAGGTTCTTGGCCACGAAAAAATTTAGCATTTCTGCGAAAAGCACACCTGAGCGACCCCTGCACTCAAGATGCAGTTTTTACCACAGACCCCATCACATGATTAGGATTCCATCTGAAAGCTTTAAAATTCCTCTTTTTTTTCCATCAGCAAGGCTTCTGTGGTGAAAGATAGAAAATGCGATTCACTTCACTGATGGATACATCTTGTAGCCTGGGGATTGCGCCCTTGTATCTGTCCCCCTCCTGCTGGCTTCTTGCATAGCAGTCTGCAACAAGAAAAGGGATACCTCTCAATACATAACAGTGCGACAGAACACTCCAATCCGCTTCCTTTCATTCCCACTGAAACGACTTCCGGGGAGGGACGATTTTCTTCACTTGGCTTTGTCGCGCTGAAGAGCCACAGTCATTTCCAACTCAAACAGAGCAAGACCAGCCCTGATAAGATCACCCACCAATTAACATTTGAGGTGTGGAACACCAAAAAATAAACATGCAAAAACTGAAGTCATCATATTACAGAGACAATTACAGTTCTGGTTAATTAAAATCACAATATTTAAGAACTCTTTACACCAGGGACAGTCATTACACTAGTAAATCGCAGTATTAAACTGAGTCCTATCCTTGTCCAGTTAAGTCTTGTGTATGAAGATATGTTCTGCCTCTGTATTAGGCAGAACACAGTAAGGAGGGAGAAAATGCATTTCTGTAGTGATTCGTCCTCATGAAAAGTATGGGATGAAAAATCAGACAAGAGTAGGACTCTTGACACGCCTTAATCAAGCGAGAGAACAGCTGAGTGGCTCCAGTCTTCATGCTTTCTCAAGACATCCCAAGTGAGGGAGGTTTTCTCCACTTAAGAAATCCTCCTGGCTGCATTTAATTTGCATGAGTAGATCTCGGAAATCAGAAGAGGTTTCCCTCATTCTTTGGTCTGAGTGCTTTCTCAATTGCCCATTCATGCAGCACTAATTGAGCAGTATTTTGACTCTATTCTATTCCCAACCAGCTCCATCTTGGAATGCAGCTCACTACTCACGGAGACCAGCACACACACTCACCTGTAACAGTGTCCACAGAGCACAGGGGAGCAGTGTTTAACATGTTTATACCAAAGAGAAGCACAAAACACATTGATATAGCAACCAGCAAATAAATTGGTGCTGCAAGTGCCCAGTACCTGAAATAAAAGACACAAATGTTTCATAGCCAGATTTGTACTGGACACAAAAAATAAATGTGGACATAATCTTTGGACTATGCTATCTGAGAATGTCACCTAAACAAAGAGTATACAGAAAAAAAAGAGAAATTAAGGAAGAATGTCAACAAAGCTATTTTCTATAAAAATCAAAAGGAAAGAAAACTACTAACATTATTTTTACCATTTTACAAGGCTTGGAAAATTGCCACCTACACAGCATATACAGTATACATATATTATTTTACAAACATTTTACAGTAATCTGTTGACAAAAAAGGACAAAAATGAATTGATCACCTACTTTTGGGGCCAATAAGTCAATCCTAATGAATGCAGCCAAGATTCAGGGACATAGGCCCACACTAAATACAGAACTGAAATGATAAAAATAAGTTTTACACACAAAGGCTAATCATCTTATCTTTTGACACATTTTGGTGAAGTCAAAAAGAACCACAATAATTCCCCGTAAATGGCTCTTTTTACAGATTGTCGCAACACCTTTACTATGACTGCATAGTAGATACAAAATTACAGATAATCACAGTTTGAGTAAATGCACTGTTAATTTTAAATATATCTATATATCTTATACTCCATGTCTGCACTAAAATATAAACACCAGTTATCCTCTTCTTTTAATGTTAAGAACAAAGTCAGGAGATAGCTTTATGATGTAGGACTATGTTTCTGACAACCCACAGAAACATTTTCTTATTTTGTACTGCAGATTTCTCACCTTTGTATTTTAATAAAATTTTTATGTATGATGTGTAATGTGATTCAGCTGAAAAACTATGTATTACTGAATTCCAAAAAATGCTATACTACCTATCTGGCAATAAAAAAGTAAACGGGAGAGAAAGGGCTTTTTCAAACGATACTTACCAAAAACAATCTGAGAACCCAAGAAAAGGACAAATCCATAGATGGCTCTTTCCGGTAGGGGAGAGGGGGTATTTTCAACCATTATCCTAGATAAATGAAAATGAGTAAATGCTACTTTTGAAAACCTTTTCAGACAAAGTCGGTACAAAGGTCTCGTAACACGTCTGAGTTATTTTGCCTCAATGCATCCAAAGCTGACGATTTAAAAAGGAAAGATGGGCCACAACAGGCTGACTGCTGTCTCTCTTTGTATTGATTAT